CCAGGAGAAGATGCAGACAGTGAATTTAAACTTCTCCTTAAAGATTTGCTGCAAAGACATGGGGTGGCAATTGGTGGGGGTGAATTATGGTCAAGGAGGGCTGTTTGTTTCTTTTAAGAGGATGAACTTTTATATACTGAGAGGAGCCAACTAGAAGGAGAACAAAATAGTTGAGGTAGTGAGAGAGAGGATGGTTGTGGGAGTGACAGCCCGGAGAAGATGGGAGGGATGGGCCTCCCAGCGACTTTTGGAGGAACTGGCTTTCAAAGTCACCTGTAATGAGAGGTGGGGCAGCGAGAGTGAGGTCACAGACATCAGAAGGCGAGCGCATGTGCTGGAAGTTGCTGGTGAAAGTTCTCTTCTGTTGGCTTCAGTTTACTTGGTCAAAGTAGAAAAGTAAACTTACCAGCTGAGGAACGAGGAGGAAGAGTTACTGGAGTCATGAGCAGAAGATACAAAAGAGCCTTCAGGGAGACTGGGACAGTGAAAAGAGCAGAGGGAGACAGGGGGAGTGTGCTCTCAGAAAGTTACATTTTATCTTTGAGGTCCTCAAGTGTGTGATGTGTGATTGCCCTTCCTGCTGTCTACAAAACAAAAATTGAGTATGGTTCAGGGAAAATGCTATTTCATCCTAACAGGATGCCTGTTTCTCAGGAATGGTCATCCTAAACTGCAAACATTACAAAAAATGTTGAAAAGGTGAACTTGTGTATCTAAAGAACAACTATTTTCTATAAATCTGGTTACTATTTAGTTCCCCTATCAATAACACATAACCGATACTGCCTAGGATGGAGGTACATCGATGCTTAAAAGGAAATGAGATCTGTATCCTTTTCCTAAACTCCATGGCTCCCTTAATATCCAGTTCCTCTTGGAATTTAGGGATGACCAGTATAAGAAGGGAGAAGCAGTTTGAGAAAATCCCGGCTCAGAATTACACAGCACAATCTCAGCTCAGAAATATACAGGCATAAGAGGTTTTAGAAGCAAAACTCCATGACTACTCTTAAAGACTTTTGCATACCTGGGTCTGCCCAGATGTTTCCAAACTGGAAAGGTACTCCAATCACTTGACCGGTAT